TATGAGTGTTTACGGTATTAGCTCAGGATTTTGAGATCTTCCATGCTTATTGGTTTTTGAAACAAGTAGTTTCAAGTATCAAAACCACGAAACTGGCGTTCAATTGTTTGCTAATTTTCAATTTCCTCCTCCTCTCCGTCATCCGTGCGTCCGTCCACTACGATTTCCCGTTCCTTTTGCTTTCTTTTCTTTCTCTTTTTCATGCCGTTGGAAATTGTGGGAGGGCCTTTTCTGCCTCCCCAGTTGTGTCAGTCATCATCGCTTGTACTTACTATAATACGCACCATCTGCTGTGATGTTTTGTGATGGTAGCCGTTGCCCTCTTATATTTCCTCCTCAAATCTCTCGTCGCCCCGTAATGATACCCACCCTCACAGACCTTCCCTTTCCGCCGCTAGTTATCTCAAGCATTGCTTTGTTAGCACACAGGTGAACGAACCGAGAAAATGCTTAGCAGATCTGCTCAAACTTTCCAGGTGTCATAACACAAAAAGTTCATACTACCATAAACACTCTAATAGAATGCCACCCATAAGGTTCAACATTGAGCCAATTTATCTCTCTTCCTGTGAAAGTTACTAAAAAGTTGTCAACTATCAAAATGTTTGTGATAATATGATAAACATTTTGTCAGTCGAACACTTTTTGATATCTGTCACAGGAACCGAGATAAATTGGCTCAAAGTTAAAAGTTTGGGTGCCCTTATATTACAGGTTTTACGGTACATTCAAATACGTTACTTTCGTGTGTAGACACTCCCAAAATTACAGGGCATAATGTGAGTGTCTTTATTGAACCGCCCATAAAATCCTTCTCACTTGAAACTTAGTCTCATCTTCATCGCATTTCCCTTTCCGTTTCTTTTTTTTGCACCATGTTCCTTCTGTTCATCTCCATCATTTTTTTCTTTTCCTATACTTTTAGTGCTAGTAAGCTATTCCGCAATCGTATCGAATTTCATCCTCTTCTCCTCCATCTTTCTTTAGATCTTTAGTAGTCCCCACATGTGTCCACTTCTTTGACACCTAAAACCTCATTATCATTATTGTTTTCTCTCTGAGTACCTATTACCTTTTTTCAAATGACCCTCTTGTTTAACAGGATGTTGTTCGACTCATTAATCGGTTGTTAATGAGGTGTGACGGACGTCGCAATATTCCAACGCAATGTTCTCTGTTTCACACTTTTGACCTGGAAATGAGAGGTTAACAAACATCTGCTTAACTAATTCCAACCTTAGATTAAGTTTTGAAATTAGATTAATTTTTGAAAACCGTTTTTGATATGATCTTCATTCTTCCTTCTGTGCCGTCCTAATCTCCTCCTCCTTACGCTCCTCACTTATTCATTCAACCATCCAAAAGACCCATTCACTCATTCATTCAGTCAGTTCTCGGTGGGAGGCCTTTCCCTCTGAACACAGACACACAGAGAGCGCTCGCGGTTGGTTTTCGGAAAGGAAGATGATTGTTTGTGTGTCAGATAGATATGTGTGTGCGTATGGCTGTTGACTCTTTTCTCCTCCTTCTCCCATACCTTCCTGTAGTTTTGGGAAGAATTGGTATTCCAGGAGTTCATATCTCCAAAATTCCCTATTTCCACAGTCCAATTTTAATCCAATTTGTCATATGTATCGCTACAATTAAGTGGTTATGTCGGATTTGGCACTCTGGTGAGACTCCTCCAAGCTCCTCCCAGATGTCTTCTGAAGAGAGCAGACGTTCCTTCAATTTCTTCTTCTTCTTTTAGTTATTTGCTTGCACTTGGTCTCTTCTTTCCGTTTTGCTCATCTCATCTTTTTGCTTCTTTTTCAACGTCTTCTGCTTTTTCTACTTCTGGAATTCACTTACTGAATCATTCACCACTTCTTTCTCTCCTCCCCCTTTTTTTCACTTGCCAGCAGGCGTAATGTAGTGGCTCCTGATTGACTTCCTCTTTTTCTTCTTTTTGCTCAAAAAACCGAACTTCTAAACCATTTCCGCTGGTTGCCTTCTTCTGGAACACTTTCCAGAATTCAATGGTCTTCTTTTGGCAATCCCCAAGAGACACTTGTCGCCTCATATATCTTTCTCCTCTTTTCACTTTTCAACTCTATCCCTCTATCCCAATCTTTTCTCACTTTTGTGAGACATTCATCACCCCTGTCCTCGCTTAATCATCTGAAGGGAAGAGAGATAGGAGATCATGTAGCAATAGCAATCAACTGTCATGAAGCAAAAAAAAAACCCAGAAAACGAATCAACGTTCGAAACGAACTGATCAAGTTGTCTGCGGGATGAGGGAAAGAGGTGTGTAGAAGACACGGCAATTAATCGTGGCAAGACCTTCTTCTTCTCTTCTTTTACCGCTCCCGGGCCATCTCGTCCATCCGCTCCTCGAGAGGCGGGAGGAGGAAGACGTCGACACAATCGGTGTTTATTTTTGAGACGTAGGGCAATTTTACTCGCAAACATATGAGCGGGGCGGGAGGCGCCGACGACACCCCGGGCGGGCCGATGGACTAGAGAGGTTCAGATAGTACGCAGGAGAAATAGAGAAGTTGAAAACGGAAAGAAAAACGATGAAGAAGCGGCTGCCTAGTTGTTCTGTGCCACCGCACGGATAGGAAGCGGACACTATTCCTCTTTTTTGAACTTTTTTCACCTGAAGTTCTCTGATCTTATCTAGAATACCACTGAACATCTGCTAACTACCATAAGCCTTTTATTAGAATTCAAATCAACTGAAATCCCTTTCTAGATCCGGAACAAAACGCGAAACGGATTGAAAACCTTCAGAGATCAACAATTTGTATCTCTCCCTTCCTCTCTCTGCAAATAATAATCTGTCTGAAAATGTAGTGTTGTTATCACGTCAGTGTTCTTCTCGTTCTTCTTTCACTTGAACTATCTGGTAGTCTCCGCCCACTTGTTCATGACTCTCTTTCAATTTGATGATGTTTGTCTAGGACCCCCCTTTAGAGACATCTGACATTTGACCTGACCATCACCACCACCTTTTCCCAATTCTCCCACGTTTCATGGAGCCATTTTATTCGGGGAGGAGCAAAAAGTCTCGGTGTTCTTTAAGAATCTCATCTTGTTTGTCATATTGTCATTAGCGGGTCATCCCTCTTCCAACCCATTCAATTCTTCTTAATCCCTCTGTCCCTTCTTCCTTCTTATGGTGGTTATTGAGCAGTGTGAGCAAGAAGTACCACCCGAGCATCTGAAATGAGTTGTTCCTAATTTAAAAGTTTTGCCACGTCATAGGAAGCCAAGACACAGTGGCGGTCTGCTTTGAGGTCGTCACTGTCACCGTCGAACTGTTTTTGATCGCAAACATACATCGATGGTTGTGTCTCTCTGTCTCTCTCCACCAGTCCTCTCTTCTTTTCCCGATGACTACCTTTCCTCTGGCCAATACTCTCTTCCCGCCACACCGTCCCTACCTCCTCCCTTTCCTCCACCGACTATTCCACCTTTTTGTGGTATGTACTAGCACTTCCCTCCCCCCCC